TCAAATACAATTAAACTATTTTAAAGCTTAGAAAAGTCAGACCGTTCTTCTCTATATAAGGTTTCTTTCCGTCATACTAGATGAAAAAGTTATAAAAGTAAACCATCTATAAATAATTAAATAAAGAAAAAAATTAGAACAGCAAAGAATCCGATGATAGTATATAAGTAAATCTTTTTGAAATTATATTGGTTTTTATTTGAATTTTTCCAATAATATATGCCTTATCCTCATCATTAAATTGAAAGTACTATTAGGTGTGAAATGTTATTCGTGAAAGTCAGTGTTGGTAGTATCTTCATGACTTAAATGAAGTGCTAATCCTACATCGATTTGTTTCTAGTGGGCGGTTCAGAAAGTCGATTATTGTGGAAAAGTGAACAGAATATCGACTCTTATTAGATAAAAAAAAGAATACTGTTAAATAAGAATCTTTCGTGAATTGTATTCATTTTCTTCATTCATGTCTTATAAAATGAACTTGAGGGTGTAGGTGTGGGTGAAGGTAAAGAAGTCATATTACCCAAACCGACACCCACACTCATCCACACCCTACAATTAGCATACTTATTTTCATATTCACATTCCTATTTTACTTCATATTCATTCTAAATCAAGAAATGCCTTATTGAATAATCAAAAATGATCAACAATTTCAGTGGCTTCGCCTAATAACTAATTCATCAATCAGATCCATGAGTTGCCAGGCAGTATCAGAATGATGCAAATATCTCCAATTACTGCACATTAGCAAAAGATTTAAATCATAACTGATACAGGAGGTTTTTAACCTTTTGTATAAAAATATAAAAGTAACTTTGCCAATTAGGAATGTTCTATATTTTTGTAAAAGAAAGGTTCTGATGAAGATATCTATGTGCTCACACTAAATGAGACTGGTTAATATATTGTCTTCGATAAAGAAATATGGTCAATATTTTGATGGCATTATTCATTCATTCGAAAAAATGAACAAAAAGGAAAAAAAGATGTTCTGATTAACTTGGAAATGAAAGATGTTTTGATAAAATTAAATAGTATTTCAGTTTGATTTTGATCATCTGAAAAAAAAAATTTGCATTTATATAGATTGAAAATTTTCATCATGAAATCAAGAAATTAATATGAGTAGCAGTACAAAAATAATGGTTATGACGAAGACCAAAGTTTTATATTCATGACACAGGAAAATGAAATTTCCTTGCTATGTGAGAATATTTCTTCTAATAGTACAAATACTTATTTTCTTTAAGAATAGTTCAACGAATAACAAGACACAGAGGAGCTCTTTATGATATCTAAAACTAAATCGTCAATTCACATTGTTTTATTGAGTTGCTTGACTATAATAACTCTCGCTTAGTTTTTTCATGTACGCTATCATTTGGTAATAAGTTTTGGCAATCAAAATTTTCCCATTCGGAACATTGGAACAAATACTTTTCTTGGCTGTTACAATGTAATACAGAATACAGACAATAATGAAATCATCGTTTTTCAAGTTCTATTTCTAAATAATCCAAAATATAATTAACATTAGCTGGTTTCTTTCAATTCTTCAACGAATTCCACATAAATATTTGTCTCTTACTGAGCGATACGAAACATTTTTTTGGTTATAATACTTCTATCAGTCAACGAGTTAGACGTTGAACGTTGTATAGTCGAAAACGACTCAATACTGATATAAGTATTCCTCAAATAGAGCAGTAGTCTTGCCATAGCTTTAATCCATGCATAAATGATACTAAAGGTTTACATTGGTTCTTTCATTCTTCTATCATCAAAAATTGTGTAGTTCGTCACGCTTGAACCTTAATGGTTCACAAGCACAGTGTTCTTACTATGGTGGTCACATCGTTGCGTCGGATAAATATAGGAAATATTTTAAACCATGGGTCAGAAGCAACTATACAGAAGGAGTTGAAAAAAAGCTTGAAGATTTAAATCCACTAAAAATTTGAGACGTTCAATAATAGCAATATTTTAATTAAGAAATATCACGCTATCGCTGTATCAGAAAGACTAATTTTACACATCACACTCATTTTTTTATTATTTTTAAATACTAAATGTATTTACAAATTACTTCTTTGGAAAGGAAAATCAATAAAACTCTTCTAATTTCACTAGAAAATAATAATGCAAAACGTAATCTTTCAGAAGAAGTGTTTCTAGTTGTACGGAATCCAAGTATACATAGTGTCTACAATTGAACATTCTAGCTTATAATCCGAGGGCATATTTCTATCAATCGTAAGTATAACAGTAAGGTATGATATGTCATAATTGCTGAGTAAAGCTTTTATACCAACGACTATAATTTGAAATACAGTTGAGTAACGTTCGGAACCCTTTGATTGAATGATATTCTCTCCAATGCTATATTCACTCCTTCCTATCTATTTTCTGTATGTGATTATATCTAAAAGTGTGGGGAAATGAAAGAAAAGATGTGTTCTGTGATTGACTCTAACATCACGTTCCATCCTTTTAAAACCCCTCGTACGTCTCATGGTCAAGTTTTCTGTGGTTGCAATAAGCTGGAATATGTGTATAAGTGATATCATCGCATCTACAATCTGCTTCACATCACGCCAGACAATTGCTTTCCCACATACTACTCAAAACGATAAAATGCACCTGTAAGAAAGCAGTGTGTTAGTGAGGCCTTGTTCTTCTGTCCATGGACACCCACATCCATATACTCATGCAATTATTGAAGAAATCTTCGCATATATATATTTGGTTTTTATAGACATATATTAGTTCTATTCCTCATGTAATCATACGTAAAAAAATGCCACAAATATATTGACTACCTCCACTTGTAGAATGAGACAAAAAAGGAGAGCATCAAACCGAAATGCACCTTTTAAAGTTTTTTATTACATACGATAAACGTAAGAGAATAGAAGAGAGCAACCTGTAAATAACTTCAGGCTTGATTCTTTACCAAAAGAAAGGAAGAAAAAATACATTACACAGGCTACCGTTAGAAATGCGAAGCATACTCGTCTACGTTTGATTGAAGACATTCAAAACAAAAAAACGAATAAAACGCATCCAATTCTTGTTTTTCAATAACTATGACCATGGAAGTGTCTTTGTACGAGGCTATTCGTGACGAAACATCTCTGGATAAGATTTCAAACTTGATTAACGAAGGTGTTGATTGTAATTTATCACATTTTGATCCAAACAGTTTAAACTTTATTTCACCGATTCAGTTGGCTGCTGGAAAATATGTTTACAAATATGGTGCACTTCATCTTCTTTATAAAGCCCGTAATCGGCCAACAAAAATGCAAATTGAAAAACATTTAGCATTCTATTTCAATTATTATGATCCATCAAACAACGAAAACAGTGATTTATTTCTTGAATTCACTATTTCTCGACTTCTTCATACACGCATTAGCCAATATCTACCTGGAGAAATGGATGTTATTAATGTAGCCCTTTGGAATTACGACAAGGTATTATTACATGGACGAAAATTAAATATTGGATTGACGTATGATGCATTTCTTAAAGTACGTATATATACGTTGTTTCGATGGCTAGCCGAGATGAGAGCCGATACTTCGTCGATACATTATTCTACATCATATGCTATTATTGAAAATGAATTATTACATCACTTAGAGGCCTATTATCTTCTACATGATATTGGACAAATTCCTGAAGACTTTACTGAATACATGGAACCGACAAAGTGTCATATGAAAAAATCATTGAGACGCCTTCTATTGCAATGCTACAAAGACATTGCAGAAAATATCATCAGAAAAATCAAAGAACTTCAACCAAAAGAAGAATATATAATTCCAACTGGTTGGCGTGGCCATGCCGTTTGTATTATATTTAGACGAACCGATGGCACTCATATCAGTATTCGTGTTGATAATCCCAGTCCGTACAATCCACAAAATAAGCACAAGATTGAACCCATTAGATCAGGTGTCCATCGAATTCGATCGAAAGTGTTAGGTCTATTAGATGTTGCAAATTTAGATAAAAATGTCAATTATTTTATGTTACTAGTCGAGAGCATGAAACGAGACTTAGATGCAAATACAGGCATTCGACTTCTTTATAATGCTGATCATAAGATAAAAGGTCTCGATGTGAGAGATGATGAAGAATCACCGACCATTGTTGAACAAGCATCTACCAATTGTGTAGTGAAATGTTTCGAACCAGGTTTACGAATACGATGTGGTAAACAATATGAACAACTTTGTGAAACACTACTTAAGCAAGAAAAACTTACAATCATTGAATTGATGGACAAGTGCAAAAAATACTGGGAAGATTATGTTAATGATTTACCGGATCAATTTAATCTGTTTAGAGAAATAGATACGATAAAAATTTTGCCGGTTGCACATAATTTTTTTCTTGATGAGAAATTATAGTTGAGTTATAAACGACGTTACCAACATATTTCAAATATTATTAATGAAGAATCTTCACATAGATTAGAAGAAACATTCATTGATCTAAATTTTAAAAAAGAAGAAACACTCATTCGATTTGAAGATCTCTTTAGTAAATCTCGTATTCTTATACTTGGAGAAGCAGGTTCTGGCAAGACGACAATATGTCAGTATGCAGCATATTCTTGGGCTTGTGGAACTTTATGGCAAAATCGATTCGATTGGTTATTCTACATTAAAATGCGCAATTTAAATGAAAATATCTATCCATCGAGACAAGAAAACTACACATTAATAGATATTATTATCAATGAATGTTTCAAGGAATGGACATTTATTGAAATCGATCGACGTAAACTAGAATTTCAGATTACACAATCATTAAAGATTCTTTGGATTCTAGACGGATGTGATGAAAGAAGTATTCCACCTCATTTAAGTAAGATCGAACAAGAACTATTAAGTAAGTCGAATCTTCTTCTAACATCAAGACCATATGGAACACATAGTTGTCACTATGATATGAAAGTTAACATACAAGGTTTTACAGATGATGATATTAAAAGTTACATCGAAAAATATTTTTCTTATCGTAAACGTACTACTACTCAACAATGCAAAGAGCTCGTATTTCGTTCATATCAATTACAGAAAGTAGCACGCATTCCTGTATGTCTTCAATTGATTTGTGTTTTGTGGGACAGTAACCAGATAAGAGGGTTGGATACTATAGAAAAAGCAGGACAGCTCTATGAGAAAATGTGTGAATATCTTTTACGAAGATATCTATTGAAATTTCATCGTTTACATACATCTGCTTTAGCAAGTAAAGATGTCTTTGAACATTCAAGTGCAGAACCATTCAGACTATTAGAGTATTTAGCTTTCATAGCTGCACAATCAAGCACATTTGCTATTAGTGGAAAACAAATTTCGAATATAACAGGCGAATTATTTATGGATGTACTTCAAAGTGGTCTGCTCAAACAGAAATCAGAAAACCATTTTCCAGTAATTGCTGAGAATGTTTACTATTTTATTCATCGTAGTTTTCAGGAATATCTTTGTGCTTGTTATATGAGACGTGAATTAACATCGAATTGTGTAGAAAAACAAAAGAAAGTAATTAGATTTATTACCGACCACAAATATTTTCGTTGGATGCGAGAAACATTTCAATTCTTCTTTGATTTGGACCGATCCAACACTAACATGAAAGAGTTTTGGTCTGCTATTGATTGCGAACCACGTGATTTAATTGGACTTCGACATTTTTCTCGTATGATGCAATGGTTTCTTGATGGAACTTGTGTACTTGAAAGTGAGGATAAGACAAACCTTAATAGAAGAACCATTGATGTTATCAAAAGATGGATATCGAATAAGGATCGTCGACCTCATGATTCTGCTAATATTTATCTATTCGACTGGTCGATTGATGTGATTAGTGAGCAGATTTGGTTGGATGCATTCGAAGAAGATCTCTTTATTGAGAATCCATCAAAACGACGTTATTTCATACCTGAATTATGGTCAGAAACAAATATTCATGAACTTAGAAATATCTACGGACAAATTCCTAAAGCTGCAAACAAAATATATGCTTTGATTAAGAATGGACCTACTGAGCGTGGTCTTAGATCGTTACAAATAGACATCGATAGATTTTCTCCACCGATTTTTCCAAAGCAGAAAAACATACCTAAATGGTTACAGGAAGTTCATAAGAAAGCGAAACGAAACGAAGCAATTATGAGATTAGAAGAATTTCAGATAATTTTACATAATTATTCATCCTATGTTGAATTAAATCGTCGAGCAACTATGCTAGATATACACACATGGCCACTAAAGATCGATCCATCTGCTCTAATCGATATTAGTAAAGAAACATTAAAACTTATTTTAGAATTATCTCAAGAAAATGCATTATTTTATCGTGATTTCAACTTGCCGATTCTTTCTTTTCTTCGACTCTATGAAAAATCAGACGATCATGATGAAACTCTTTGTTCACTGATTGTATCGATTGCACTGAACAGTACTTGTATTGTCACGGCATCACCTAAACGACCAACTTCAGTTCGTGTTTACGAGCATGAGAAGTTTGTTGATATCGACATGGAAGATACCCGTCGATTAAAATTACTATTAGAGTTCGATAGGATTCGAAAGATTTATGGATATTCATTTGATTGTTAAGAAATAGAAGTAAATTTTCATCTAATGTTTCTACTAGCTAGTTTTCATATGAGTGTGAGTGTGCCGGTGTTGTATGAAATAGAAAAGATTCACACCCTTAGTACGGATTCTTCATCAATGTTACATCTTCGCTATGACGATTGTCATTTATTCATAGAAGTTAAGATTTAGTTTTCATAATTATCTAATATATTTATAATAGTCATGTATTTCTGTAAGGAAATATTGAAATAAGCTTTAATCGATTACAATGATGATGTAGGATTATTGCATATGGTGAAACAGATGATTATCAATATTACCAATACTATTGACTAAGACTCTTAGGGAAGTAATTTTCATACAGAATTGTCAATGTTAGCATGTCATTTAGATTGAAGTAGTCTATTAATTCATTATCAAATACTGACTGATAATGGGAATCGATTATTTTTCATAGAAGAACATTTTGTAGATAAAAATGAAAACACATATTGATAAAGAAAGATTTTCTCTATCTCTTAAGAAGAATTAGAATTCGTATTTATTTTTATTTTATAAGCAAATAGGATGAATACCACATTTGACATTTATTGGTTTCTTTGTCGGTATACTAAGAAAATAAAGAAACGAATGCGATTTACTCTTTAGTAGCAATTATCTTTTATATGAACTTGTTCATCAAATTTATGAGAGAAAATTTATTTGATTCGGTTTCGCCCTCTGTTACAGATCAATACTCTTTGTACGTTTTCAAAAAAAGAGAAAAGAATTGCTGACTACTATATTATATATTTAATATAATTTTTTCTCGATTCAATAAATACTAAATCAGAAAAGATTTACTTAAATAATATAAAAAAATATCAACTTATGATAACTATTCATTTAATATTGACATTCAGTTTTTCGCTACATGTATATTTCTTCGTTTTCTTTAATTTTAATAATTGTGCGAATGAGAAATACTTGCATTATTAAATGGAAAGACTAAATGCTCTTATCTAGAGAAAAATCAAGAATGGTTTTTAAAATGTAATATTGCTTTCGTAATATTTTAATTCCCGTCGAAATAAAATCATTGATGTAGTACTTTCAATATCATTCTCTTTGAATACTCAAATTATTCCCGTCAGCAATTCACTCCCTGAGATAAAATAATTCAAATCAGAAATCTTAAATAATTTGAAGAATCTCTATTTATTGTAGCATTCATAAAACAAAGTTATCGAAAAGTTAAAACACAAAAATAAAACAATCGCTCTCAAAATTAAATAGATGTGTGAAATGTTTTGCGTCATCTAGACTGTGTTTGCCATCTTGACATTACATTCTTTTACCCTGAAATAAGAACAATACAATCATGGATATTATATCGGATATGAACAAATTAGGAAGCTTTATCAAAAAAAGAATAAGTATATCATTCAAAAGAAACTTAATCAACGTCTTTCTCAGTCTAGTATACGTTCAGTTATGATTAACCAAATCTATATGAATTACAGAAAAAAATACGGAAGGGTACAAGTTCTAATTCAATCTTTAAGTAATTAATTTATACGATTTCAACAAATGTGATGCAAATTTCTTTTTTTTCAGTGTATTCTGAAATTATGTAATGTAAGAGATTATCTATTCATCTAGATACAAAAGAGAAAGGAAAGTCGC